ACTATATGCATTCTGCTTTGCTCACCCCCTTGCACCCTTATTTAAAGTCTAAACATTCATCGCTCATTTCCCCCGCGAAATTCACTTCGCCCTCCAGTACCTGGACCAGGTACTTCAGACACTTGGACACATTCCTAGTCTGAATCATCCATGCAATCCTTGCACGCGGTCATCCGTTCGACGTCATGCACTTCAGATGTTAGCCTAAACGCCTAAACCGGACCCGATATCGCTGTTAACCACTTGCGCTGGAAAGACGTGTCACGCACGTCGTAATGCTTTTGTCACAGAATCACCAACGACGTGGTATACACGTCGCTAGGCAATTGTTACAGAAACACTGGACTGTTCTGGCACACGCGTCTGTGAATTCCTTGGCACTGCAAGTGGTTAACACGTTCCCTAGGAATTGGTGCTAGACTTTCCATTCAGGCCTGGCTGGTCCGTACGGCCTGAAAGGGCCCCCATGACGACTAACCCGTTTCCTTTTCTAGAGTCCTCCCTATCTCACAATACCACACTACTCTAAGTAAAAGTATTTTTCTAAGATACGTGTCTTCGTTTTTCCTCTAACACGCGTTGTCTGTGCGTCTCAAATTCGAGATAATCCGACCGATTAGGAAAGTGAATATGTACACGAGATTAGGCCTATCTACCGATAACTCGACACCTTCCCAGCTCTCTATTATAACACGTACGGTTAAAACGTCAACGTGGATCGTTTAGTTTCTCTAAATCCTCTACTTTCCTCTACCCAGAATTCGGGACTTGAATCAAAGACGCGATAGACTCGAGGGATAATCCCGGATCGAAGATGTCAGAGCTCAAAACAACTCCGAACTGTCACGGTCGCATTAAGCGGACAATCGTCGTAGAGTTCGGATTCTCTTGAGAAATTGCACGTCACATGCACGCGGGACAGACGTCTGGCTCCGAGACGGTGAATCACGGGAAGATTGGTCTAACTTGCGGGAGCACGGGACGAGGAAGATCCCGTGGCTTCGATGCTCGGAGATTCCAGGGGATTTGCAACGACCAACCGGTGCTATGGCCGGATTCAATTCCGTCAGATTCGTTAATATTTCTCAGTACTCGGGAACGCGGCTCAGCCCATCTCGCGCATCCTCTTGTCCCAGCCTCAGTCAGCGGATTCGGAGGACCTCGGATCTGCCGCGTTCTAAAAGCGAAATCGAATGCTCGAGGGGCACGACTGATAAATTCCGACGACCTACATTTTAACAGTGGCCACTCGTCGATCGGTTCGAGCCAGCACCTACCCCCCTGCGGAAGGTCGAATCTTTGATACAAATTACCAGAACTGGTTACTTAGTCGGCGTGAATCGCCGGTTGATCGAACGCGAATCGAACAAATTGCTCGCGAGCTCTCTCGCGGGTATGCAGCTCGTGCATCGGGATTTACAGGAGTTATTATCGATAGTAATCTTCCACGCATCGGGGCGGGATCCTTCACCCACTGGCCTAATTTGTCGCGAACAAAAGCGGCGCGAGCGCGTGTCTAAATTGAAAATTCCGTCAGGACGTCGCGGAAACGTTGCGAGTATGCATGAAATATTTACCGCGATGCACGCGAACCCGCGGAACGGGTTTAGCTGGGAAAAATCGCGTTCCTCGCCGTGCGTGTCGCGCACGCGAAGGGGTGCTCCGGGGTGTATCATCGGCGAATTCATTTCGCGCACGTTCCGTTCGTCGGTTCCATTAGGAAACGACCTTGGCTCCGTATTCGACGATAATAAAATATACGCGGAACTAGCAAAGCGACGTCGTCGGTGGAAATTAATACGCGACTCTCGACCAACCCCCGGTGTAATTAAGCTTCGAATATTTTTATCCCGAGACTGGGAACGGAGGGGAGGATTCGGGATCGACGATATTTGTCGATCGCTTTTAATACCTCCCAGGCGTTTGGCTGTAGCATCCGGAACAAATTTTCCCTATTTTTATCGAGATAACGCTACCCCTCTCCCCCCAAGTAGGGCAAATAGAGAAGTTATAAACATCGGCTGCTGTTTGATCTTCCATTTCAATTCAGACCGTCCAGTGCGCGTAAAATTGCGAGAAAATAAAGGGCAAAGACCTGCACACACTCGATAAGCTGGCGTCCTCCTCTGACAAATTAAATCCATAGAAGGCGATACGGGGGCACGGATTGCAGCGATTCAAAGAATCCCATTGAAATTCTCTGCGTCGGTGAACGTGCACGTGGATGTACGAGAGGAGAATCAAGAGGTCGCGACATAGAGTCAGGAACGCGTGTAACGCGGAAAAATTGTCGAGATAGTGGAGAGCGAGGGGATGGTCGGATAGGGGTGGAGCCGAAAAGAAGAGCTCGGAAAAGCGTGCGTTCGATGACTTCTCTCCTTTCCTTCCGAAGAATGTTGCGCGAATCCGTCTCGTTGCAGAGGGCATCGTACGCGTCGAAATGACATTTCTATTCGCGAATGGAATGCTGGGACATCCACACCTGTCGCCGGTGCACGCGTATCCGCTATCGCATAAATACCAATAAGCTAGGAGCGAAAGAGAGGAATGAACCTGACACGGGAATTTTTAATAAAAAATTTCCACGTGCATTCCCTTCCTTTCGCTTTCCTTGCCTCTTTCC